CAGCAGCATCTGGGACCTCTACCCACCAGGCCCATGTGACAGCCACAAATGTCTCCAGGCCACGACTGACAGTCCCCTGCAGGAGAGGTGGGGCCGGGTCACTGCCCTGCCTCCGCCCTGGGTGGACCTGGCTGTTGGAGTCTTGTTCTATCCAGAAATGACCCTTCCTGGTTTGAAACCAGAACCGGGCTGAGGACCCAGGAGAGGTCAGCAGGGGGGAAGGGGGCGGACAGGGAAAGGGCTCAGCCAGCCAGCAAGGGGGTGTGGAGGGGGAGAGGCAGGTGGCCAGCGGGTGGTCAGGGGGCCCGGCCACTGTGTGGGGAAGTGGGAGGAGGGTTAGGGCCCGGAGCTGGGCGAGGCCACACGGAGAGGCACCCGCCAACACAGGTTGTGCAGCTACATGGGAAACCACCGAGTTCTTGCTGGTCCAACAAACAGCAGCGGCGGACCCCTGCCTGTACCCCGGACTCCCCTGCTACTCGGCGGGTGGACCGTGGACCCGCAACGGGGGCACTCCTGGGGAGTCTTGTTAGAATGTGCAGGATCTCGGGCCCCTCTGGGCCAGGATGGAGTCACCGGGGCCCTGGGTGATTCCTCTGCCTGTTGAAGCTGAGACACACCAGTCCAGTGTTGCTTAACATCACACCCAACGGAGGATTACCAAAAGCATTTCCCCACAAGTCGGAACAAGACGAGGGCGTCCACTCTCACCGCTCTCTTCAGTGTGGCTCTCTGGACACTCCTTCCAGGCAGGGCCATCAGGCAAGAGACGGAAATTGAAGGGATGCAAACAGAAAGAGAAGAAGTCAAACTACCTCTGTGGGCCGACGACACGATCCTGTATCTAGAAGACCCAGAAAAATTCCACCGCAGACTTGTAGGGCGGCTGAATGGATCCAGCAAAGTGGCAGGCTCAAGATCAACGCTCACAGATCAACAGCTTCCCTAATGCGCAACAGCCGTTCTGCTGAGAAAGGAATCAGGAAGACCAGCCCGTTCACCATGATCTCCAAAAACCCTGGAAATGGATCTGACCGAGGAGGCAAAGGATCTCTGCATTGGAAACTAAGGATCACGGAAGGAAGAGACCGAAGAAGACCTTGGAGGTGGAGAGAACTCTTGGGTGGGCAGAATTAATACCAACCCGCTCATTTAGAGAAGAAAAGGTATATTAGCAGTCGACCAATTACTCTCATCTATTTCTTCTTCATATTATTCCACACCCATCTTCTTTAGAACTGTTGCTTCTGCTCTGATTCGTTCTCTAACTTCCTTACTCGAGGCTAATCCCGGCCAAACCTCCACATGCTGTGTGTCTTACTTCCCAGGGGAACCTCTCTGTCCCTCTTGCCTCCAATCCCTGCAGCCTCCCATCCTGGCCTCCATCCCTCCCAGGCCCTTCCCCGTCCTCTGGACACCCAGCTCCACACCCAGCTTCTGCCTCGCTGTCCCCACCCCTGCCATGAATGGGTAATGAATGGACACTTGCGAGCTCATTACCACTGAACCTCACTCAGAGAGACGGAAATGTGCACGGAGCCAGCCACATAAATAAGAAGAGACGCCTGAAAAATAAATAAATAGAAACACACACGCACGCACCCAAGCCCAATTAATCCACATCATCTGAAAGCCGGGGCCCTTCGGGGTGGGGAGAGGGAGACAGGGAAATCTCCCGATGCTGCCGTCCACGAGATTTCAGGACTGAGCTTCTCAGCAGCTGCCGATAAATTATTTCTACTATGCAGAGGAACAAATGAACCTGCGTCCGCCGCCCTAAATCTCCTTTACGAGCCCGGGTCTGCCTCGGCCCACCCCAACAGGGACGGGGGCTCGGGCACGTCTACACTGGCCAAGCTCCCCAGCAAGCCTGCTCCTTGCAAACAGTCGGTGCTGCACGGGCGCCGCCTGTTTACAAGGGAGCTGGGTGTGGAGTAGAGGCTGTCCATCAACGGGAGTCCCGGGAGTTATGCGGACAGCAAGGCCCGCACCTGGGCTTTCAGAAGGTCACAGAGGAGGGTGGCCCTTGTGGGTGGGATGGGACGTGCCCTCTAGGTGGCACAGGTCATTAGACCCGCTGTTCTCTACCAAGCTTCAGGGTCTGGGTGCAAAACCTCAGCACAGTCAGAAAAATCATGTTTTTTCTTTTGTGGCCCTGGGAATGGAACCCAGGGCCTTCACCATGAGAGACGAGGGCTCCACACCACAGCTGCTCCCCCAGCTCCCCTCCCTTTTAATTTTTTATGTTGAGGCAGGGTCTCGCTAAGTCGCTGAGGCTGGCCTTGAACTGGGGGGCCTCCTGCCTCAGCCTCCTGAGGCGTGCACCACCGTGCCAGGCTCACGAGCGACTTTTGTGTGCACGGTCATTACCCAGAAGGGAGGCTGTGGTCACTCCCTTCAGATGGAATGTGTCAGGTTGTCCATTTTCCCAAACTGAGTCAGGAGGAGGTCCTGGGCAGGCACGGTGACCGAGACACGCCACCACGACGTGCTGGGCACTGTCCAGCATGTGAATGCGGCTCCCCTTCCCACATGTGCCGCCGTTAGCTGTGATAAGTGAATCGCTCTTTAATATCTGCAGGGGCTTGCCCTCTGAGGGCCAGGGCACCACGGTCACTCACAAAGCCACAGAGGGAAGCCGGCGGGGCCTGGCCCTTTCTGACTCGGAGGACGGGCCACAGGATCCAGGCAGCACTGGGTCCAGGCAGGGACGGTCCAGCGCGGCCCAGGGTCCTCCGCAGGCGCACACGGCGCACAGGCCCAGATTCGCCCGGGATGTCCCCGCGTCTCTGAGCGTCCCCACCCGCAGCCCCTCAGCTCGGCGGGAGGGACTAAGTGGAGTTTCGAATTTTGGTGCTGCCCCAGCCCCCGCTCCCCGACTCCAGGATTGGGGACTCGCAGGAGAGGAGCAGGAAGCCAGGGGAACTATCCACTGGTGCAAGCCCTGTCCCCCAGGAGTGGCAGGACCTCAGACCCGCAAATGGGTCTAGATCAGAATGTCACCTGCCCGGGAAGGCTGTGCCTCCAGTTCACCCGCTGGCTAGTGACCGGCAGGACTGGATTCCCACCAGTGAGCCCATAAACCAAGACCCCTGCCCTTCCCCCGCGGGAACGGGTGGACACAGATGGGGTGACGATGGGTCCGGGGGAGGTAGGATAGGAAACAGAAGGTGGGTAGAAAGGCCCAGAGGAAGGGGAAGGAGACCATCACGTTGACATCACGGTCCTGTGCTGAAGTGCCTGGGTCCTGTCCCCCCTAGGCCAGTTTTTCCCCCAAGTCTGACACTCCCAAATTTATAGAAGATCCACGAATCTTCACTGACAATCCCACAGTTACTGGAAATTCACGGTGAGGAGAGCTGCCCTGGGCAGTGGTCCAGTCTGCGCACTCTCATAGCAGATCGGGCCGAGAGAGAGAGATTTTATGGGCCCTAAAACACGGGGCGGGTTCCAGCTAGGGAGGCAAGGTCAGCCCGAAGGCCCCGAGGAAGCGCAGGACGGCCCCTCGGCCTTGGTAAGTGGTGGAAGGGCTTCTTGGGCTCCCAGTGGACAAGCTGCCCTTCCTGGTCACCCGGAACCAGCAGCCCTCAGGTGGCACTCAGGGCTTGGTCCAGATGGACACGCCACCCACGTGAGGTCCACCAAGATGGGACGTTGGTCACCAAAGCTCTGAAACGGGCTGTGGGACTCGTCTCTACCAGCCAGAAACCCTGGCGCACCTGTCAGAGAAGAGCCGCTCAGCCTCGCGGCTCTGTGGACAGCATCGGGGCAGAGAGAGGCCTCGCGGCTCGGAGGAGCAGAGCGGAACTGAGTGGACCTCACTCATCGGGTCCTTGTGCTGTTCTGAGCCCTTAAAATACCTTCTGAGGCAACTGATGTTCTAAGAGTTTAGAGGTCACCCAAGACCACCCAGCCAAGGTCACTGCTGGCTCACGGTGCAGCTTCGTGGGGTTTATAGAAAAAGGTTCCCCGGACCCTGCGCAGTTGCAGCACTGCGGCTTGCAGCAGGCCCTTGCTGACGGCAGTGTAGGCTGAATGCTAGCTCCTGCAGATTCCCTTGTGCAGTGTGTGTCCTGAACAACTGTACATAGTATCCCCAACTAGGCAGTGTGTGTCCTGAACAACTGTACATAGTATCCCCAACTAGGCAGTGGCACAACGGAGATCCCGGGTCTGACTTGGATTTGGTTTTTGGTCGTGCAGATGCCCCGTCCCTCTCTCCACATCACTCCTCTCTTTTCGGACTTGCTTCTGGATTCGACCCATGCAGGGCTGCTCCCTGAACACCAAGTCCAGGGTGTGGACAAAAGTTCAGAAGGTGGACAGAGCCTTTCCATCCCCAGGGGCGGCGGCCACTTCATCCCAGTCTCAGAGAGACCCTGGGCCTGCGGAAGGCCCCTCTCCGCGGTGAGGCAGTTGTGGGATCCTGGCGTCCGCCACTGCCCGCGGCCCGGCCTCCCCACTCCCCACCCCCTCCCTCCCGGGCAGCCACTTTGCGCAGTGACCTTTCCGGATCTGCGCTGTCAGGCTGCAGTTTAGTCCTCCCGAGGACCGCGCCAGGCTCCTCCAGCCAAGAGCCACTGCCGGGAGCCCTCCCGGGCCCGGCCTCCGCTGGCCGTCACTTTGCATTAAGGGACCCCTGTACCGGGCTCCCAGAGAAAAGGGACCACAAGTCTCTGCTGCGTGTCCCCGAGAGAGAGAGTCGATGGAGCTGGGGACAGCACAGGAGCATCTGAGAAAGGAGTGGACAGCTGCTCGCTCCGACAGGCAGCAGCCATCGTGATCATGGTGATGTGACAACTGCCGGGATCCGGGTCCCCGGGGCCAGGACCACGTGAGGCCCGGCTCTTCAGCGGGGGCCCGGATCAGGCGCCAGCCTCCCCGTGACGTTAGACGCAGAGAGACCCCAGGCCACGCGCCAGCAAAGCCCCAGCCCACGACCCCCGGCACGCAGTGACAACGGCCTGGGTCTGTGTCCCCACGGTGTCACCTGCAGCTCGGGCCCCGTGTGTGATCTGCTTTGTCCAAACAGGGCAGCTCGGGTGGGGAGTGTGGGTTCCCGCCCCTCTTGGGGGCCCCTGGCCGCCGCCCGGTGGATGAGCCCAGGGGGAGGTGTGCTGGACCCGGAGAGGTCAAGGCCGGGCTGAAATGCTCCCGAGTGGCTTGTCCGCAGACCCGCGAGGTCCACCAAGATGGGAACCGTCACCCCCCACCACCGAGGCTAGAAGAGCGGTCGAGCTGACCCAAAGACCCGGAGCAAGACGAATCACAGAAGTCGCTTCCTGTCGTCCTGGTGAGTTTTGGGGTGATTTGCTAAAAATGGCCCCAGGATACAAGGAGCAGGATGCAGGCAGAGGCCCCCCCCCCACCCAAGGTCACCCAGCCTGAGCCCTGAAGGCCATTCTGCACCTGGTTAAAGAGGACCAGCCAACAAGGCCAGGTAGGCCAGCGAGTCTCCGTGGCTCCCCACACTGCCACTGGACAGCCCAAGCCATCCCCCGTGAGCCCCGTGTAAAGGGGCGGGTCTGCCGTGTTCCAATAAAACTTTATTTATAAAAGCAGGTGGCGGGCCAGACCTGGTCCAGGAGAGACTCCTTCCCCACATCAGCTCTTCTCCCCCTCCCCTTCCCCTCGCCGCCTCCTCCTCTTCTCCTATCTCTAGAATCTCCGTGCAGAACCCTTCAATTATCTCCCACCATTTTTACACTCGACGACGACGTGACACCCCGTGACATGTGACAACTCGGCTTTGTCTCCGGGTGTGTGCATGGCGGCCCTCCCCTCTCTCTCTCTCGGCTTGACTGACGTGTTTTCCCACGGGGAGGCGGGTCGCTCTCGGGGTGCCCAGGAACGGGAACTCTGCAAAGCTCCGATTGTACCCGACACCCGGGACCCGCCACGTCCTCGTCACTGTCACGGCGGGGAATGCAAATGACTCTTATTCCGAACCTTAAAAATGAAATTCAAAGAAAAGGAGAAGTTTCAGTTCTGCTGCCACAGACACTCGAATGGTTCCAAACGAGTCTGCCCCGTCACCAAAAATAAAAAAGGGAACAGAGTCAGCCACAGTCACTCAGAAGGGGCCGGAGAGCTGTGTCCCGTGACTTCACTCCCCTCTCCCCCGCCCCAGCTCAGCGGTGGGGGGGGGGGGGACGTGGCAGCAGCTTGTTGCAGAGAACAAAAATTGAGGCTGGGAAAGAAGAAGAAAAAAATAAAATAAAATAAAATAGACCCCTGGCGACTTTCCTTCTGAGACGACGGTGTGGCTCAGCAGGAGACAAAACGTCCCACAGGCTGCGGATCCTCCACGTTCCCAGCTCCCTCCTGGCCCCGGGGTCCTTGTTGGCAGGGACGGTGGAATGTGCACGAGGCCCGTCTCCCTGGCTCCCAGGGCTGGCGGGTGGCAGCCTGTGCGTCTGGGGAGGAGCCGCCCCGGCCACTCCTCCTGGAAAGTCCAGGTGGCGTCCAACTTTCCGCCCTCTGGAGCAGCCGCCCGCGGGAGAACAAGGCCGTGGCTCTGGACGGGCTCCGAGTTTCAGGATCCCGAAGCCGGACAGGCAGAGGGAGGCCCGCCTCCATTCTCATGAGGGTGGCCTTCCATCTCCAAGAAGGGCCGCGGCGCCCAGGACCGGGCACTGATGGCGCGGGCTCTGGGGGGCGCCCTGACCACGAGAGCCCAGGGCCCGTCTCAGGCAGGGGCCGGGGGCTGCGGGGAGGGGCTCCCAGGTTCCCGCGCTCCGGGCTTCCCCCAGTGGGCCACTCCACCCGCGAGTGCCCGAGCCCGGCACCGGGCAGCACCCGGGACCCCTGGGAGTGGCCGGCTGCCCGCTCTGTGGTGCCGTCGTCTCTAACCTGAGGGAAGAGGACAGAGGCCAGGCCTGAGGCCCACGGCCAGGGGGCGGCAGGGCTTCTCTTCACCGTGAGAGATCAAGTGGCCTGGGCAGGGACCATGTCCCTGCGCGTCATCAGGTGGAGGTGGTGACAATGTCCCCGTGGCGATCGACCGCCACCAAACTGTGATACTCTCGGGGCCCCTGAAGGTCGTCACTTTACAGGAGCTTTCTTGGGACAAGCAGCGTGCAAGACAGGGGACCCGTGAGGCCAGCCAGCGGGGGGTCGTTCCCATCTCATGGACGTGGAAACAGAGGCCGGGAAGGGAGACGCCTGCCACCGTCACCAGCCTGTTAGCAGCTCAGCCCAGGGGCACAGCAGGCGGCGCGGTGGCCCTCGCCCGGAATCCCTGCAGCTCAGGAGGCTGAGGCAGGAGGATCGTGAGTTCAAGGCCAATCTCAGCAATTAGCGAGGCCCTAAGCCACTCAGTGAGACCCTGTCTCCAAATAAAAGAGAAAAAAAAGGGCTGGGGACGTGCCTCAGTGGCCAAGTGTCCCTGGGGTCAATCCCTGGTGAGAAATAAATGAATAAGTAAAGTGCAGCGGATCCCGGGCTGGCGGCCTGGAGCCGGCGGCAGGGGCTGGACTTGGTCGGGCGCAGCGGCCCAGCCTCTGTTTCCCCAGCCTCTCCCCAGCCTTCGTTTCCCCAGCCTCTCCCCAGCCTTCGTTTCCCCAGCCTCTCCCCAGCCTTCGTTTCCCCAGCCTCTCCCCAGCCTCCGTTTCCCCAGCCTCTCCCCACTCTATGGCCTGGAGTCGGGGAACCCCCTTTTTGTGGAGGCTTGAAGGGGAACGTAGGCTGAGGAGCCTCCCAGCTGGATGAGCTGAGCAGGGCCAGGGACAGAGGCCAGGGACACGGGGACGGAGCGAGGAGCTGGGTCTCATCTCAGTGACTCTTGAGCCTCCCGCGTGGCGAACTAACAAAACACAGGTCCCGTGGACAGTGGTGAGGAGGGGTGCAGTAAAGAGGGGGACAAAGGGGGCAGAGACAGGGAAGTCCATGGCCTCCGGGTGCATAGTGAACATCTCCCCAAAGTATAACAGGTCCCGGTCACTTGAGAGAGGTAGGAGCTGCGTCTCTGAGCTCCCTGGCAGGCAATGCAAAGAGGGAAACCGTGTTCTCGGGTCGGTGTCAGAGCGGGGTCTCCTCCTTTACAAGGTCCCCTCAGCGTCGCAGGTTCTGAGGCTGCTCTGCTTCTGAGGGTTAGCTCTGTCCCTGCGTCGGCTGAGCGGCCCGGGGCTCTTCCTTGTCACCTCTGAATGCGAGACGCCCGCTGGCCTGCGTCCCTGCGTCCCCTGAGCAGAGAGGAGGGTGCGGCCGCCTTGGTGGGAGACGGTGCCACCAGGGGAGCCACGGGAAACGAGGCCGAGGAAGCAGATGAGCAAAGTCACCTCCGGGTGGACATCGGCCCCCGGCTGCCCCCAGCTGCCCCGACGAGGGGCTCAGCATCTCAGCACAGAGCAGGGGCCACGGCAGGGCCACGCGTGTGCCTGGCGGGGCCGGGGCTCTGCGCACACTGGGCCGCGGCAGGCGGGGCACGGTCACTGGGTGGCGCTTTCTGCAGACTCTGGAGCCTTCCAGGGACCTGCAGGACCCCTCCAAGGGCTCTGCCCTGCAAAGTTGGAAGAGCCACCCGGGCTGAGGTCGGGGGTCCTGGGCGGTGAGCGGGAGAGGGGACGCAGGACAGGGTCCCCCTTCCAGCAGCACCCAGGTCTCCGTGCGACGCCGCTGATCCTCCGACCCGGAGCCTCTCCTGATGGAACCTCCACTGAGCGTGGCCGCCTGGTTCCCGGGGACAGTTGTTCCAGTTAACTCATGTGACACTCCCGAGGTGCACAGCCACGGATTCGCGCCCAAACCAGAGGCTTCGGGGCTTTGACTCAAAGATTTTAAGTGGAAAAAGAATCTCTCCCTCCAGAGCCTCTGCGGGCACCTGCTGCTCACCCCTCGGAAAGGTCACGGAGGGAGCTGCAGGCAGGACTCGGGGACGTCTTGGGGAGTCCCATCTCAGCTGCCAAGAGCAGAGGGCAGGACGGGGCTGTGCTCCACGGAGAGAGGCGGGTTCAGATCCTGGCTCGGCTCCTGCTGGCTGGCTGTGTGATCTGGAGCTAGTTCCTTAACCTCTCTGTGCCTCACTGGAAAACCCAGCGGTGGGGACCAAGCCCCACTTGTGGGTGTCACCGACAGCAGACGACGCCTGTCCAAGGACAGGGCACCTCCCTGGGAGGCTGCCCCCCACCAGGGAGAAACCATGGCTTCCTGGCCCAGCTGACGCGCTGGGAGGTGTGTTACGCCCCAGAGTCAAAATAAGCAGCGTGTGCCAGGTCCAGCAGCCAGGCCACAGGCAGGAGCTGCGGCATCCCCGAGGGCACGGGAGGAGTTTGTTCAGAGCAGGGGCCGCAGGAAGATGGAGGTGGACGGCAGGGATGGGGCTGGGAGAGATGTTAAGCAGGACTGTCCAGCGCTGGCCAGGCAAAGCACGAGGACTGGAGTGGGCTGTGGGTCAGCGAGGCCCGGGGAGGACCCCACGGGGCGCAGGCCCCACCCGCCCCTCGCTGACTGTGCTAAACAGACTGAGCTCCTGGAGCCTCGGTCTCCTCATCTGTCCAGTGGACTCACAATCGGGAACCAGCTTCGGAATGCCCTGGGTAGGGAAGAAAAGAGGGAGCAGGAACCGCTTGCTGTCCTCTGGACTGGACACTGCCCAGCGCGTCAGGCCGGTTGGTTTATGGATCCTCGTAACACCCCAGTGCGGTCTCGGGCCCCTCTTTCTCTTTGCAGCCCTGGGAATCAAACCCAGCGCCTCGTGTGCGGCAGGCCGGCCCCGACACCCGGCTGCACGTCCAGCTCTTTCTGTTTTTCATTTTGAGACAGGGTCTCGCCAAGTCGCCCAGGCTGACCTCAAACTCGCAGTCCTCCTGCCTCAGCCTCCCCGGCAGCTGGGGTTGCAGACGCACGCCCCGTGCCTGGCTCTGGGCGCCCCGTTGTAACGTGAAGATGCCGAGGTGCCCGGGGGCCAAACCGCCTGCCTGAGCCAGGGAGGCCCTGCGGCCTGGGGCTTCCTCAGTACCGTCCCCTTACCCAGAGCATCCACCTGCTCAGGGGGACAGTGGCATCGTGAAGAGAGCCAGTTCTAAGACACCACCACTCTGCGTCACAGATGAGGAAAGCCAGGACACGGGGAAGGAATGCAGGCTTGGGAGCTGAGCTACCTGCCTGACGTGGTCTCGCTGCTTTCAAATCCCTCTGAGAGAGAGAACGAGAGCTCTTCCTGCAGCTGTGTGATCTTGCTGTGGTCACCTCCCCCCTCTCTGGATTTCCCTGACGAGGAAGGCGTCCATGGAAGGCCAAACTCTGACCTTCTGGGGTGTTCTTCATGGACCTTACCTCTGCTTCCCAGTGGAGAGGGTCTGACCTACCCCAGGGCCTTTGCACTTGCTGTCTGTCCCCTCGATATCCTCATGGTTCCTTGCTCAGGCAACAGCTCAGAGGACATCTCCTTCGAGAAGCATCCCCCCATCCCCCCATAGGCATCCCCTACCCCTCCTCGGGCCACTTACCACCATATTATATTATCATCTATGTCCCGCAGCTAGAGCTCAAGCTCCGTGGCTTTGCGCTGCCTGGCATGTGACGTGAATCGGGTAAACATCTGTGGAGCGGGTGCCTGGAAGCTAAGTCCATCTCTGTGCACCTGCAGCGCTGGAGGCAGAGGGAGGGGCCAAGGCTAGCCCCGCCCCCTCCGCCCCCC